TACCCAACATTATTATGTGAAAATTTGCCTCCTACTGAATTAATAATATTTCGGGATTGGGATATTATTCCTAAAGTGAAGTTGAAGTTTCGACACTTGCGAAACTTCACGATACCCCCATGACATAACGATAATTCCGTCTCACCTCGATGCTTAAACGGCATAACAATACTTACATAACATTATTATGCCTGCTTTCATACTTACTTTCATAGCATGGGGGCACTTCCATAACATTAGTATATTTCCATACATAAGGATTATGAACAATGAATTGTGCTTTAAAAACTCAGATATCATATGCGGAGAGAAGCAATTCAGAGAAATACAGAGCAACGCAATGCAACATAATGCAGTTGACTGCGTGGCAGAGTAATATTAAAGAGCATTATCATTTCTTACAATACTTCTCAATGCTGCGCAAAAATGCAAGTTGTTTAGATGCATCGCAACGTGATGAAATAAAGTGAAATTTATTGCAATATATTCTAAAGCGGTGCAATATTGCGCAAATTGCAATAGATTTCTTTATACCTTAAACGCTTGTCACTCTTCCACAATACGCAACGCAATTAATGCTGAGCAATATAGCGCAAAATACTGCATCAGTGTGCAACAGTGTGCAACAGTGTGCAACAGTGTGCAACAGAGTGCAAGTGCAACTAAGTGCAACAGAATGCAACAGAGTGCAACAGAGTGCAACAGAGTGCAACAGAATGCAACAGAGTGCAACAGAATGGAGCAGTGTGCAACAGAGTGCAGCAGAGTGCAACAGAGTGCAACAGAGTGCAACAGAGTGCAACAGAGTGCAACAGAGAAACAACAGAGTGCAACACAATGCAACAGAGTGCATATGTAGTGCTGTGTAATTAGTGCAATTAGTTTGTTATCGAATTCCGCACTGATAGCTGAAGAAAACTGAGCTTGTCAGACACACGAATATTTAAGTTTATTTAATATGCATAATGTTCATGTGCCCATATCCCTCCGCGAACATTTTTCGGCTCTATATGAACTTTTTAATTGCAAGTCTCAATTCGTTTTCCATAGAATTTTTTTTTCTACAAACGGCGAACGAGCATTTGTTAGCTAAATAATATTTTAGAGCAGTTCTATAATTTATTCGAAATTAAACTTGCATCTGCATTTTCACAGTCATTATGAGGATACCTTAGATTTTGTCATAACAACAGCAAAGAAATATATTGAGTATATTGACTTCCACGTAAACACGTAAACAGCCTCGTTAACGCATCGTTAGCATCATTAAAAATTGTTACAGAAAGCTGTGATAGATTTTTAATTTCGGTGATAAGTTTAACGCCAGATCGGTACTTGTATAAGTATCCGCAAATATATTGCTGATGCTAATATTTGTTAACTCGACCTAAATTCCAACTGATTTAAACTTTATTTTTATGACATAATTATTTTTTATGAGCGCAAGCGCATTCGTACATAAGAAGTTTTGATAATTTCACAAATGAAGTTCGATATAAATTCCAGCACAAAATTTTACGAGTCATTGCTGAAGCGAAATTATTATTTCAGCTGTCTCATTTTGAATTTGTCTGGGAATATTACTATTCAAATTACATCTGATTGTAAATATGTTTTTGGTTTTCATGTAATGCAATTCAACTTATTACTGTATTTGTGCTGTGATTTGTCAAGCATTCATCATGGCTCCTCAAATCATTTCAGAAATCGCAACGGTTTTTCCCATTTGAAGATACAGCATGCAGATATACTTTTTTCTGAATGGAAAACCCGAAAAAAATTCTGTGCGAAAAAAAAACACGTGCATGAATCCCTCTTCACGCCATGAAAATCTCAAATTCTGGACATCGCTGGACTGAAAATCATCAATTTCTGGACATGGTGTTTCAAATTCGGAGCAGCAACTCGGGTGCGGGTCTCCGGATTGGCATAAACCGCGAATTTTGTGTGTGGGTAGCTTCGCAGAAGCTGGCTATATCGTTCCTTATTTTTGGCTAACTCGAGACTTTTGTTCATTGTATTATATCACTATAACATTTGCAAAGAAGAACTGTTGATGTGTAAAATATTTCTTTAATGTAATATTTGAAATGTTCTTGCTAAAATTAGAGTTTTTTTTCCATACCGCAAAAATTTATTTTTTGTACGTTGTTGTTCATTGCAGTAGTTTTTATGCATTTTTGTCAATTTACTTCAAACTTTCAAAGTTACAATAGTTAGAGTATGTCAACACAATTCTAAGATAATTAATTGTTTTTCACTCAACTGCTATAAAAAAGTCTTTAATTAGTAACTTATTGATCATTAAAAATAATTGGGCGAAATTTTGCAGACTATAATACACGGATGCTGCTTCTTAATCGCGATTGTAAAATGATAAGGATTGACTGTATATAATTTAAATTAATTGCATTATTCCTTGAAAATAATATAGTCTCTGGGCACCAAAAATTAATGATAATTTACAATTCGTCGCGGGCAGAGCCGAGTTCAGTCTCGGCATCAGCGTGCAGGCTGTTGGAACCTCGATGGTTGCCAATAGGATGGTCAATAGTTTTCAATTTGAAGGAGCGTGTTTTGTTCATATTTTCTATTAACATTTTCTTATTATTAGATGTTTAAAGAGTAAATTAGTCATCGTAAACTTGTATGAAGAACTCATTTTGAAAACTTGTATATTAATCTGTAACGGTGCGAAATGGGTGCGAAAATTAATACGAAATGCATGCTAAATCCATGTCAAAAAGAGGAAGTTTTTTAATAAAATATAGAACGATTTAAAAATTTTGCAACAAATATCCAGGTTTCCGTGGGCTGAACAGAACAAGAATTTGTTTTAATCTTTTGGTGGCTTTTAAAAAACACGCGAGGACTCAAAACTTTGTATACGTCACGAGTCTCATCAAGTTTGAGACGCAGCTAATTAGCTAATTACATTGCAACCTCAACTAAATGCACCCCATAAAAACTGATATGTTAACAATATTTTTTTTTTACATGTGTCCTCGTTTTATATCTGGATAATTTAATCTGCTATTAAGCAAATTAAAAATTTTAACAATTGAAAGGCAATCTGATTAGAATAATATTTACTGTTCTGGGCCCATACTTTCTAAAAAAGTTAAGATATCGTAAGTTCATCAGCCAATCATTGGCGGCCTTTCGAGCAAAATCCACCAATCATAGACAAGAAAATAGAGCGTAAGTACTTACGTTCACTTAGCGAGTTTTGAAAGTATGGCCCCTGGACTTTATGCTAAACTTTGTCGAATCAACTAATAAAATAAGTGTCTTTAATAAGTCTTAATATCAATAAAATATTACTTGAACACAATCGACATGCACGAGCTAAAATATCTGAGGGGCTAGCTGAGAAGAAAATTTCGTTTTCATAAGACAACAAAAATTTACTGCCTTGCCATAATTAAAATTACACATATAAAGTAATTATATAGGAAATAATTGCATTTATTTAAATACAAGTGGTTAAAATATAGGAACCAATGATTTAAGAATTAAAATTAATTTTCTAGTAATGAAGATGAAATCGTCTGCAATTAGATTTTTCAAAGATCAGAATGAATTACATTTATGTATAAAAAACGACTATTTTAGTTTGGTGTTGCTGAACATTGCCCGGCATGACTTAAAAGAATCGATGCTATTAATTCACCTGTTATTTCACTTTTTGAATCTATAGAATAATTAAGTAGTTTTCACAACTTTATATAAGGTTCAATAGTTCATATAAAGATAGTTCATAAATAAATAAAAAGTACACCTCTACCTTAGTTTCAACTCACCAGAGGGCGCTGTTAAGGATTTTCTTGTCAAAATGTACAGCCCAATTGTTAAGACGACAGTAAGCCTAGTAAGCCATAGCTAATGATCTGAGCAGTAGCGAATTACCCCTAGCAGAGATCAGGCTTGAAGATGATTGTAACGCCAAAAGTTTTGAAACCGATTAAAAAATTTTTAAATTAAATGAAAATTGCCTTCACAGAGCCACCATTCCTGTTGACCTATCGATGTCAGCTGCCCACGCAAATGAAACACGACGGAAAATACTGTTGAGTGACTCGTGAAATCTCAGCCTACGCAAGCGAAATTGGACAGCGATATTGTACCGACATCTCTTGTTAGCCGAATATTTTTTCGAGCATTCCATAGTTATGCAGCGATCTGATAACAAGGATAATGGTGCTTCAGGTTACAAGGGGATCGTGAGCTATCGATAATTTCAGTGAGCCATAATGTTTCGCGTTCTTTGAATTTTGTTCAATTTAGTTGCGTGTGGTCTCCACTCTTGACAATTCAATTTAGTCTGTGTTGGATTGAAAATGTATAACTCTAGCAATCTACACGTCGCCCATGATACAAGAATGCATGTAATGAAAATCCCCTACTTGAAATTTACAAATTTGCTGATATATGAACAGTCTAAACGAGGATTAATCCGCTGAGAAGAGAACGACTGAAAATAAAATCCTATAATGAAAATTTCTCGCACCTTATTGTGCTTTGCTGCTAATTGAAATGACAACCTGAATATCTAGAACGTTATTTCACAAAGAATATTTGATTTGTGACTAATGCAGGATACAGCCTCTAAGCTGCAATGCAAGGCTTATTTGTTCGTTAATTTTATTTGTGCATAGTTAGCGTCGTGTGGTCAAAGAGATCTGAGGCTAAGCTAGCCTAATTTTATAATTTCTTCAAATGGGCTCTAATAGAAATTTCCGGCTTATAATGCAAATTTAGTCATTTTGCCATAATTAATTTAGCGTCTTTGACTACAAATAGGTACATGAATATGAGAGGATTTTGTATTTTCGATTTGAATGATTTCTATATTGGCCTACATTTATGCTATTTCCATCATCGTAATCTCGAATCCACTTGCAAAAAGCTTCATTGTACTTGTATCGTATGAATTCGATGTTCCGATGATGGGTTTATATTTTACTTCTATCTTGCATGATATTTTTGACGAATTTTTCAGATTTCGTGAGCTTAATGGAACTCTGAATAATTGAACATTTTTCTTAAACAAGTTTTCAGCCCTGAGAAGATATGACTTTCGAGTATTTTTTGGCGATAATTGCCGGATTTGCTCTAGTGTTCAACGAAGGAAGAGGACAAGCCTTTAATAACTTCGAACATGTCAACTCGGAAAATTTACGTTTTGGGATCATAGACCATGACAATAAGCTTTCGGACCACCCTGGAGAAGTGAAAAATACAAACATAGTACAATTTTTAGAGGCATTCTCGAATCCTGAACATATAGTTTTCCGTGGATCCAACGCTGGATTTGAACCTTCGTTTCGGGGTGCATTTGGAAGCAACACGTACGACGAAAATTTGAATAGAAACGACGAAGAAGCATTAACAGATGACGATTATTTCATTAGGTCTGAAGGTGAGCCTTCTAGACCCAATTTTGTTTACCCAAATACAGACCAAGCTTATGGAAACGCAGATTTTGAACTTTCAAGTTACGACGAGGGGTCCATGCTTGATGATCCAGTTTTTTCAGAGCTTCACCTTTATGATGACGTCCAGCCTAGGGAGATCTTGTATGCGAGCGAGCTCTCCACTTCTAAAAATGGTATGGATCAGCGCGAAAAGAAAGTTACGCCCTCCAATCTGGACCCGACGACGGATAATGTACCTGTTCTTTGCCGCCCTGCCATTGAGGTCCGTGAGCCTCTTTCACTTGCACCAAGCAATGTTTTTTGTACGAAGAACGGTAACCCAAAAACACAGATCACGCGTACGATTGGAAATTTTAATTCATTTGATACAAATTTTGCAACGCGCATTCCGGTAGTAAGTGTACTGAATGAAATGGAAAACTTTCCATCTGAAAATGGGCCATTGCCAACAACCGTCTCGCAACTCGGAAAAAGCACGGTTCTGAAAGAATTTGTATTCCCCGAGTCGGTTGAAAAGATAGTGGAAGTCTCCCGGTTAGTTACTACTAAGAAGTCTGAAGGAGAATTTCTATTGGTACCCACTCCAGGAGATTTCAAGTTGGTAAATGCCAACTTTCATGCCAATGCTGGAGAGACTGTTCATCTTGATACCGAACCCAATAGATCGAGTACAAGTGAAATAAAACGAGGTAGAAAAGCTCCAGCTTTCAACCAAGAAGAAGACATTTTCAAACCACCTCTACAAGAGGATTACTCCGTTTCATTAGATGAAGATGAAATTAAAACTTGTAGTAAAGGGTTGGAACCTTCTAATGAGAGATATTCTGAACTTGGTGGAGTAAATGATTTGGCGAAACTTGACTGTGATAATTCAAAAATTACTGAAATGCCATTGCCGCTGATGCTGCATAAAGTCGATTTCGTCTTCAATACTTTGGAAGCCATTTTACGAAACATTTTTGGAAGAAGACGTTTGGATTTGGATAAACAAAGTGAATTGTGAGTATGCATTCTCCACCGTGACTATATATTACCAATTAAAAATGTTTGTTACATGCTTGGCGTTGTCGTCAGGTTGTTTGTACAAGTATAAAAACCTTTTAAAAGTGGCACACTAATAGGTTTTGTTTATTTTGTAACAGTGACATAGCGAAGAAGTGTTGGCTGGAGCTTCTAGAAGAGAAGTTGTTGAAGAAGAGGACTAAGCATCGTCCAGATATCATGGATACCGTCGGTAACTTCCTGTCGGTGTCGAGGTTGAACAGGTGCTACGCCAGCGTTGTGGGTCTGCTTAGGTCGCAACCTCATGGTAAGTGAGGAATGGTATATTTTCACATGGAATAACTTAGAATCTGAGGCGAACGGCGAATTTTTCTTTGTTGCTCCTAGCGTCCTCCTAAACGCCATTCGGAAGAATTTGTGCTTTTTTTTTGTAACGTGATTCAGTGTATTTATTTTCTATTTATTGCCCAATCGGCATTTTGTTCTCTGCTCGTTGCTATGGACATGAATCATTTATCAGCACACTGATTTAAACTTAAATTGATGTTTAATCATCAGTTATTCATGTGCACTTATAGGCGAGTTTTCTCTTTGCTCTTATTTTCTGCGAAAAATTAAAGTCCACTCAATGTTTTTACGTTACTGTTTCAGTCTAAACTCCGGTGCTTACCATACAGTGTTAACTCGTTTCATTTATTCATAATTGAGACTCGTCGATTATAAGCTTAAATTTACTTATTCATCGTACGTCGCTCCCGCGGTGAGTGGAGAATCGATGTTCGAGTTTTCTTCCGATATCTGGCGCTTTTCAAATATTGCTAGCAGCGGCTTTGTTAAGATATTAATTCTCAGCCGTGGCTAAGATATTAAGTGCATTAGGCACATTAAAGTTTCTCTAGATTCCCTAGAGTGACCACTTTGTGGCGCAGGATATTGGGGACATTGTTTCTCTTATTTCCCTGGAGTGACCATTTTGTGGCGCAGGATGTAAAACTGTGCTGAGAGAGATGACATGTCTGTATCCTAGTGAACGTGTGAGAATAATGCATTACATGTTGCGCTTCGTTCGTTTAAAAATTCAAAACGGGTTGAACGCACATTATGCGTTCAATACAAAACATGCCCTGCTAACTCAAGTTTAGCTCGTCGGTACTAAGTTGATTTGTCTGAAAAATTTGTCAATTAATTTTGGAGAGAAGGGTTAGGCTTGAATTTCTCACCCCCACTTTTTTAGAGTGACATTTTATTTATTCATCATTAACTTTAGAGTGAATTTCTATTAACACGTATGGGTTTATTATCATTTTATTTTTTTCACATTTGCCACTGGCTTTTATGCAAGTTATTTTTCTCCAAGGATACCGAAGAATATGTACGTTTTGTTACAATATTTATGTTTCGTGACAATATTTACGTTTTGTGACGATATTTACGTTATACGATATCAATTTCCAACGGAAATGATGCAGGTTTCAAAGTAATTCGCATAATTTCCGGCACTTATTCATACTTTGAATTATTGATGATTTTTAATGGTTTTGAATGCATAAAATTAAACACTAACTACAATTATAATATTATTTTGTCAAAGATGTATCAAATTTAATGCGTATAACTAAATTTATTATAATAGAACAAATGAGAAAATTTTGACCTCATTAGCTAATATGGAAAATGTGTGCTGCAAATTTCAGCCCACGATTTTTGAAATTTTATATTAAATTAAAGCTGCCGCGTGAATGCGTTCTGAATCGAGCGAATTTTATCAATGATGGAAGTTTATTGCGTTTGAATCTGTATATATGAGATTAGCTTATTTTAATTGTGATGGTGTATTTTTAAAGCCTTTGATTTCTGTGGGAACTGGTTCGTTGAGCTTTCTTTCGTAAATAAGTTTATATTACCACTCCAGTGAATAAATCTTAAATTTTGAGTACTTGATCCATGTCATCGTTTATAAAATATTGAAAGCGTTCAATGGATGTAATAAAATATTTTGCGAGTATCTTATCTTGAAGATTTGCATTTAAGAAAGAAAAAAAGTGCTCCGCAGATTTCATAAATGTGAATGACAATCAATACAATCAATGAATATACAATCAATGTTGTATATTCATTTATAAAGGATACATAATCAGTTGAATGATGGAAAAAATTTTACGTGATTGTGAAATTGTGGGTGAGCGGTTTTACTATGATAGACATTTTACAATGAACTTAATGCAAGCATTAATGATTACATAGAGGCTCACGACGACTGAAATTTAGTTTAGTAATGACCTTAATATTTTGCTCTATGTGCAGCCAATAAATATGCCGATTACATGAAATTTCTAGACTCTGCATCATCATTTATTTCTTTCACCAATAAAGTTGAAAACGTCCTCGCTAAAGCGGTCATTAACGAACAAAAAATTTACAAATTTGAACCTCACCAAATGAACGGAGTTCGTCGTGTCAAGTCTGGGTTGACATCATCCAACGGTGAGTTATATGATGTAATAAAAAAATCAGATTGTTTTTTATGTATTTAGTCTATGGTGCAAATTTGCATGCGATTCAAGGCTACTGTTCTATTGAATAACCTGCATTTAATTTACCGTCAGATGAATTTGCGTCACGTAAAAAGTAATTAAAGAGTTTGCTTTTGAACACTAATTGACCGGTATTGACGAATGGCACTCTCAGCTTTCGTTGTCTCGCTTTAGCTGCTGTCTTATTCAACGTTAGGGGGTTGCCAGGGAAATATTTATCATGTCATGTATTTCCGAACCTTCGCCTCACAGCTTGGCAAGCCAAGCATATGCTACCCGTGGCCTTGGTTGCTCTAAAATCTGGAGATTTGGCCTCAGCGTTTCTCTGGCTCTCATACATCGACCAAGTTTACCCACTGCAACAAGATGACAAGTACAAGAACCTTCTGGAGCACATTATTCATCAGGTATTGTATTCAGTATTTTGTTTTTATTTGTTCGCTGGGCTTGATTATCAGCAGACATTTGTGTCATTTTTCCGAGTTCGGGCGACAAAATGAAGAACTGACTGAGATTTGTTGAGCGTTGGTTCATTAAAACTTTTTATTTATAGAATCCGCCTACCTTGAGACTCTTGAAAAAAGGTTCACATCGAAGTACATCTCATAAGCTTTGTTCTTGGCAATGATTGCACATCGCTTGTTCGTGGTTAAAAATTTTGACTATGTAAATATAAATGATCATAAGACTTTGTTTAAGTAGGCGCTAAATAATTTGAAGTTTCCGCAAAATCAGGTATTGGATACGTTTGAATGCGTTTCGATACATGAAATTGTATTGATGACACAAGTACAGTATTAGGGGAGAATGAAGCCTGGAAATGCGATCTCTGGCTCCGATCATGAGGAAATGCAGATAACTCAGAATATTTTTTTATTCCTCTTCATCGATTATTTTGTATATTCTTGCATAATATGCTGAAAAACAATAAAAAATGAAAAATATAATTATTTATTCAACAAAGAATAATTGGAGCTTGACTTCAATTGAATTTCTTGGATATTCTAGCGCGTTAATATTATTGCAAACTGCCTTATGAATAATAGCATAAGCTTATGTTAGCCAGGCGTTGCAAGGGCAAGATAATCCCTGGACTTCCAGAATCCCATTATTCAGAATCCCGTCATTCAGAACATTGCTAATAATTGTGAAACTACAGTAATTTAAGCAAAGACAACTCCGTTAAACCCATGTTCACCACAAAATTTCCAGGCAATTCGCGCTTGAAATTTAAGGGAAACTTTAGCTTTTTAGCGCAAGTCTTCAACACGGAAACAAACAAACTGTCGAAAATATATAACATATTACTAAATTATTTGTTAAAGTTTCGGTCGACAGTGTGACATCCGATGGCTTTGGGAAAAGATGCGATGATTTTGGGAAAACTCGTAGCCAGGAACAAACAACCGGTCACATTTATAAAATAGATTACTAAATTATTTTTTAAAACTCCGGTCGATATCCGATGGCTTTGGTTTGGTTGAAACTCGTAGCCGGGATAAAGCAGTAGGGGATTCTGAATTGAACCACGGCTATCGTAGAATCTCCAGTGGAAACTCACCAGATAACTTGAACCCGTTGAGGCGAGAAACATGATAACCAAGCTTGAGGAATGTCTCGAATATCTCTTCTCTCTGTGCCAGCCTTGGGCTGAACACTGAATAGTGGATGGCCTTTCAACGAAAACTGATTTTCATTTGTGTACATTTAGAATTTAATTCTGTGTGACAACCACTAGTGAACAGTGAGAAAATTATGTGTAATTTATGAAAAATTGCACATTTTTATCTTGCATCCAAATTCTATTAAAGCGAAGAGATCAAATGAAGACGAAATCTTTCGCAACTCTGAAATGATACCATAGTTCATTTTCACGAATGCAATTGCTTCAATATTAAGTAGTTTCTTAAAAATTTTTTTATCAAAGCGGCCAATTTTCATCGAGTCTTTAAGAGAAATATTTGGACACGATGAACAAGCATCAGTTCAGAAATATATTTTTCACGCATAGTGCATATTGACTAGCAAAGAGGCATGGTAATTTGGATTTGTTGGTAATTGAAATTTAAACGAAGGCCCCGTATGTCCTCACGCTTTGGGATTTAGTACATTGAATATTTTAAGCCACAGTTATTGGATACTTTAAATCCAGATACCTTTAGAATTCTAAAAAAGAGCACAGCAACACTGGTAGGGAAACAAAAATTAGATAGTCTGGGGTTAAATGGCTTCATCAATCAGAAAATTTTCACAAAGGCTGCTCGAAAATGTTGTTAATTAATAGTCCATGATTTTTTCCCACTGAACAGCATGATCACGCACTGCTGCACGGAGACGTTCAGAACACCTTCACTGTCCCTCTGATGTCGCAGCGGCTGCAAGTCAGACAGCACCTCAGAGACAGTCATTACAATGCGCTATGTCGAGGACATGGTAATCAGGTATCTAATTTCGGACTCGACATAACCGAAAGGACTTGGAATACGACATTTTAATTAAAGCAGATATGAACAATCCACTTTACAAAATTTGTGTGTCCATAGCGTTTACAGTAACACAGTGAACTAGCTCTAACTTTGCACCTTTTGTGTCAAAATTGTTTCGCATTCATTAATTATATTGTCTTTCCATAACAATTTTTCAGAAGATTCTTGAATAAATTCAAGAGCGTTTCGAATGTTTTCGGAGGATCACCCGCTTGTTTTTTGTTCCAAAAATCTATCACCAGAAGTAAGGTTTTATCTGCCTCCTCTTTATTTTAATTTATGAGACGAGCGTGCAAGAGTATGCGACTTGCATAAAAATGTTTGGACATCGACGACTTTTCCGAGTACTCGCCTTGTTCATTTGAATGTGACTAGTGATATCGAAAATTAGTTGATACCTTTCCATAATGTTCGTTTGGTGAAAGGGTGGCTGCAGAAATAATTGTACTGATACTTAATTATGTACTGAGATTTTATGCTCATTATTGAGGTCTTATTTTGCTTGGATTCATTTGACGGACGTGGTGTTATTATGCAATATTGTGCCATCTCTAGTGTAAAAGTCGCAAGGAAAGTTGTTTAAGTACAAGTACGTTCAATCAACAGTTTGCATTATCTTTTGGAACGGTCTATCACCCTAAATTTATCTGTTCTATTTTCACAATATTTTCTCTAAAGTTGAGACAATGATTGATAAATAAAAATTCTTCCTCCTCGCACAGGCTGCAGAAGAAAATAATTTCAGGGTTTGTCGATATTTGTCGGTGCGGCCACATTTCTTGCTGGCGCCACTGAAGATGGAAATTCTAAACGCCAACCCTCGCATCGTTCTCTACCACGACATCGCTACTGCCGGCGACTTCCTGAGCGGCACCGAATCTGCTGTCAAGGTTTGTCGCAATATCAGTGACGTTCTAACTTAACATTAGTGTAAATGTATTGCAGCAATAAAAAGCGATGAATGAATAAATTTATTCTGATTTTTAACTTTTTTTTTTGTTTTGTAACTGATGCACCTTTTTTTATTGGTTCAATATTTTATTCAAATGGAGTAATAACTATGAAACTATCTATGAGAATGGTATCACAAGTTCCGCTAGTGGCAAAAATGGAAATAAAAATGGCCGAGCCTTGGGACGATGCATGAAGAATTTTCAGAACATCTGAACAATTTAGACGTGGATGTACAAAATAAAGTTATGAATTTTCTATGCAGCGAGGTCGATGTTAATCTTGTTGTGGAAATCTATGAATATATTACTGGCAGGTTCGTTCCCGTTACGCTGGGAAGCTCGTCAACCAGAAGATGTGCAATGCCAGTAATTGCATTTTGTCGGGGTACATACGTGATCAGGTAATTGAGTTATAAAAGTAAAGGAAGATTATTTGTATTGTATCCATGTAGTTTAGAGGGCTTCTAGATGGCACATGGCCATTTGACATTAATTTAGTTCATTCACCGTACGTAACGAATAAATCGTTTGACCGCTAGTTATGGCTGCTTCTCGGCAACCGTGAAATTAAGATCACGCGTGATAGCTTGTTCAATGGAGATCGAATGCTACTGGTATTCGGCATTTGCTTTTTACATTTTCAATGAACATCGGTAATTCAGTAATTGAATTAATTTCATCTAGAATTTTGTACTTATCTCTTAATCAGATTAAGAAGTCAGTGTCAGACATGACCGACGCATGCAGGCTTGAATTTATAAAACAAGCTCACTACTTAGCTGTCACTACTACTAGTAGCTTTGACTACGTCAACTTGATTTTCAGATGCCAAGGATAAGCCTCGCTGTGGCATCTCGACTCGCTGCAATTTCCAACGGAAGACTGAAAATCAACGACTTTGAGGTAAAATCTGGAAATTAAAATAATATCAATTGATGGAAATATTTTCCTGTCTTTGTTTATTCTTTAGTGTCATTTGGTTGCTTTCATGATGGATTGTCACTGAAATTGATTTTTTTTACCTCTGTGCTGAATCGTTCATTTTTCATTCGCAGTTCGAGTTGATATCTCCAGGTTTCAACAGAACTCTTCCATCCATCGCTAACGGAACGATATTGCAGGTAATAACTAATGTCGCAGTGTATTTTAATTCCCTGAAAGCAACTTTTACTTCTTGCTCACATAACGCTAGTTAAGTATAGATTTATCGCGTGGGAATTGGAAAAGATTCATCGTCTTGCAAATTTAATTATGTACCTGCACTCCTATTAAAATGAGTTGCTTATTAAAGTTTGATAAATAAGTAGTTCTTTCACATATATCATTTGTTGATGCAATGATCAATTGTTGGCTGACTATAAAACGTTATAAATCTATTCTTAAAATAAAAGTTGTTTACCCAGTTTAGTTACACCAGGTTATTCAGTTATGTTTCATTTGAAATTTAAAGCGTTTTATCTATTGAAATTTTAAAGCGCTAGAACGAGTAACAGTTGTAAACGAGTACTTAATTAGTGAACAAAATTAGAGAGACACATTTCCTCTCCAGGGCCCATACTTTCAAAAAAAGTTAAGAGATCGTAAGTTCATGAGTCAATCATTGACGGCCTATCAAGCAAAATCCACCAATCATAGACAAGAAAATAGAGCGTAACTACTTACGTTCACTTAGCGAGTTTTGAAAGTATGGCCCCTGGTGTCTTCTCCGTAGTCTATGACAGTATACATTATAAATCTTGAAAATTTTTATTTCGATCTCAACGTGTTTCTCCATTTAACCCAAATAATTTCATATCTCGAGTTTAATTTTGACTAGGATGTTTATTGTACAACTGTCGTAATTAGTAATTATTTATATAACTGGATAACTTTCATATTTTTCACTGGCACCAATTTTCCAATTTTTTGTGAATTTCAGTGCCAAAACTCGACTACTTATGGAAAAAATGGAGACGACGTATCTTTTTGGACGATCTTTGTGAGTACGTCCAAGTTTGAGCGACCTTCGTAAGTTACGTCCAAGTTTGGCCGGTCTTCGTAAGTTACGTCGAAGTTTGGGTGGTCTTCGTAAGTTACGTCCAAGTTTGGGCGGTCTTCGTAAGTTACGTCCAAGTTTGGGCGACCTTCGTAAGTTACGTCCAAGTTTGGGCGACCTTCGTAAGTTACGTCCAAGTTTGGGCGACCTTCGTAAGTTACTTCCAAGTTTGGGCGAGGTCGCAAGTTACGTCCAAGTTTGGGCGACCTTCGTAAGTTACGTCAAAGTTTGGTCGACCTTCGTAAGTTACGTCAAAGTTTTGGCGACCTTTGTAAGTTGCGTCAAAGTTTGGTCGACCTTCGTAAGTTACGTCAAAGTTTTGGCGACCTTTTGCAAGTACCAGACACTGGTAGTACCGTGTACTGCAAGTACCAGACACTGGTAGTACCGTGTACTGCAAGTACCAGACACTGGTAGTACCGTGTATACACTACATCCCTCCATCCCCGCATCTCTCAATCAATTAATCATTACCCCTGCTCGCCCTCCAAACCATCATGTTAATCTTCAACATGAGCTTTGAGATTTTATCCATTTTAACATCAGTTTGTGCAATTTTGACCTCCGCTCCCAATGAATCATCTCCCGTCAAAATGCTGACAACTGTATAGTTATTGTACAATAGATTATTAAATAACCTCTAACTTATTGACTCAAATGTACCATATTTCATTAGCTGCCATCCATATGATTTGTAATCGGTTGGTTACCTTTCCAGAAGTCGAACCTATATTTTGTCTCCATGTGCCATCATAGTTGTAAAACCATATTATTAAACGTTAGTAAACTGCATGAATTTGAATTTGTTGCTTCTCCTAAATTACTTATAAAGCATCATTTCTTAGTTTCTTGCTATTGATGGTCAGTAGGGCCGTTTTACTGTATATAATACCGTCACTTTGGTTAAAAAGTGAACGTTTTTGATGAAATTTAACCCGAAATAATGTTGAAAATTAATTGCAAAAAACGTCGTTTATTGTCCTTCCCCAAGAACGATTTCATTGTGCATTGTGTGTTTGCTCGCTAAGTTCACCAAGCCTTATAGCAAGCTTTATACCAATCCTCATTCAAAACTATTATTAATTTGTTTCTTATATTTCTTCAGTTTTACAACAGAAAGATGCCTCTTTCGAGAATATCTGCCAGCGAGCGAACAAGTCCTCTGCACTCGACAATCGACATGTTCGAACCGTGACGTCCACTCGTCCTAGTGACACCGAGGTAATCACGCCAACTTCAACAACCATTTCAACGGCCATTACTGCAGAAAAGGAATCCATGCCGACGAAAGAAGTTAATTTGGGATCAAAAAGTTCTTATGGAGCCGTTCCTGAAAATTTGGGACGCTCATACCTAACTTTTTCCACCGTTACCGTAGATCACATTTATCAAAGTGTATTGGGAATGCGTGTTCCACCTATCGCAAAGACGATTCAAGCCTCTTCCTCAGTGGAAAATGATTCCAGTTACTCCAGAATTCGGGATACAATTAACACTCCTAGACTTACCATGACTCCTAGTTTTAATCAACCGCTAACCTCTCACGAGTCTTCATCATCTCATGGCGAAGAAAGATACATCTCGTATGAGAATAAACTTTCTCTATTAATGAATCCTGCGACAGTTAAAAAAAGTGAAAATAGTTACTTGAGTGTGGCTTCATCTCGTTTGTTGAAGCGTCCTATGTTACCATCAATGGACACTGGAGTTACCAACATGATTCATTCCACGATTTCAAATAAGTTCACACCCTTGATTGCATTCATTGATAGGACACAACTGCTTATTGAACCTACTTCATTAGACAGTGGAGCTGGTGACCATCTGCCTCCAAAGGATGCAGTGAAAACGGAGACTTCGACGGCCAACAGCAGGTTGGGATCAAGTATAGTGGATGTGAATAAATTCTACATGCTGGCAAGTGACACTGAACGATCTACCACAACGCAGATCAAAAATAATGATTTAGGAGGTTCTATAACTACGCGATTAGTGTTAGATTCAGTATCCGGCCACATCAACACCCCCGCGAAAGTTTCACTGTTGAACCCAACACCCGTTTTCTTACACGGAAGAGCGGTCGAGTCTCATTTCCAAACGACTCCCATTCCCCCGTCTTTGGGTTCAACCAGTGTGCCATCAACATCAACTCAGCGCACGGGTTCAAAGTCTAAAGATAATTTCATGCCGTTAAGCCCTGTTACAGAGAGGAACAAATTCTCTACTGTAACCGTGCTTGAATCTCGAAACGTCAGCAACGAAAATGAAAGCTCATCTAATCTTTTGGATGAGGGGACAATGAGCGTAAGTAATCAAAATCGTAGCATTCCGGACTCGTTTCGAGAGCAAACCTTAAGTCGTATGGGTGAAAAGACTGTGAGCGCAAATAATCATAAGCAGAGCACTCTGGACTCGTTCCGAGAGCAATCCTCAAGTCGCATGAATGAAGAAACTGCGAGCGAAGATAATCACAAACAGCGCATTCTGGACCGATTTCCCGTTTACGACCATAACGGCAATGATGGTACGACTGCAAAAGGAGAAAACTCCGTTGAACAAGACGTCAAAGAAAGTACGGATTACACGCAAGTTTTGAAGGGCAATTACGATATAAAAGTATCATTCGATGCTTTTGATTCTGCAACATCTATAAATGACTTATATTTTAGGATTTCTGTTAGGGATGGCGGTAATATAATGGTGTCTGTTGCTGAAGACTTGTGTGAAGAGATGAGCGCTCGGGATGACGATCATGATGAACAGAAGCATCAGGCTACTGCTAACATTGCCACCAAGACCTGTTATGAGGATGTCAAAAGAAGCAACAGATTTCACGACGGCTACATGAATGGGCACCTATTGCAAAAGGTCGGTGGTGATGGCCCGAATGACGTCGGAGAGGGGCTCCAATTTAGAATGGTAGATGGAGAAGGCCCGAACGATTTTAATAGCGGGCTCAAATTTAAAAGGGTATTTGGTGATGGCCCGAATGATTTCAGTAGAGGGATCCAATGCAAAAAGGTTATTTGTGATGCACCGAATGATTTAGGAAGCGGGCTTCAATATAAAAAGAAAGTTGATGATGGCCCAAATCATTTCCGAAGTGGGATCCAATATGAAAAAGGAGATGGTGATGGCCCTAATGACGTCGGAAACGGGCTCCAATTTAAAAAGGTAGATGGTGATGGCCCGAATAATGTCGGAAGCCGGATCCTATCTAGAAGAGTTGAAGCTTCCCAACATGAATTTGCGCATGAAAATCGAAAAGCTCATGTTGAGCCACCAACAATTGGTCCCTCGAAGAAAATGAACTTATTGGCATGTTATTTGGTTTCTGCTGATCTTAACTGGTGTGTCGAAGCATCATCTATAACAGTTACTCCTGAAGTTCCGCAGTCACCAAATAGTGACAGCAAATTTTTATTTGAAGGTTGAAGATTATCGCGGGAAGATGCATATCATCAAGAATTTAAAATTTTGTTAATATTATTTCTTATTGATACAATTACGAGTTTATCTGGTCGTGGGCTCTTCCGATACTTTTTTCGAGTAATTTCTGCATAGATATTTTCACTTCAGTTCCTTCGGATTCCGATCTACAAGACCATTTTAACCAGCCGCACAAACAATTCATTTTTCAGTCGTATCTAATTTTCGAGGAAATATTCGCTTTGCTTACCATCAATACTAAATTTATTGATGGGGATTGGAAGAAATAAATTTTCGTACTGAAATACTTGCTTGATGAATGCGAAACTGATTTTATATTGTGTTTTCTCGGCGCTCGTCCAATTTCAATAAAAAATAAAATCCATGCAGAATGTATATTTTTTTACCCATTTCGTTAATAACGTATTATGAGCGGCTCAATCTTGTATAATAATTATAAACTATCGAGAAAGTTCAGCCTCAATTTTTTTTGCAAAGCTATCGTATTTCATAGTTGCTGTATCACCGCTCCACCGATTAGCCAAAAATTTTCTAAAACTTTTTCACTTAAACAATTTTAATAACCCAAACAACGACTAATCCATGCTCCTTGTTAGAAGTAATGTTTAATTTCACATAGCCATTGGCAGTGCTGGGCAGCGCTACTTTGAAATGTAGCGGCCGCTACCGCTACCGCTACATGCTCTAAATGTAGCGCAGCTACCGCTACCGCTACTGAAAATGTAGCGGCCGCTGCATGTAGCGCGCTACTACATGTACTACGCTACATGTAGCGCGCTTAGTTGTTACCTCTGGTAACAACTAACATGTTGACACTAGTAACAGGCTGAGGTTGACAACATTAGACCAAAATCTTTCGTACCGTTTTATTCTGTAATTTATATTATATTATGTATGTATCATGCTGGTTTTTAAATAATATTTAATACTATTAAGTTAAATCTAGAAGCTTTATCTATAAATGTAGCGGTAGCGCTGTAGCGGCAAAACCTCGTATCGCTACTTAAATATGTAGCGGGCGCTTTGCTGGTTTTTAAATAATATTTAATACTATTAAGTAAAATCTAGAAGCTTTGTCTATAAATGTAGCGGTAGCGCTGTAGCGGCAAAACCTCGTATCGCTACTTAAATATGTAGCGGGCGCTGCCGCTACCGCTACAATTACTTAAATGTAGCGCCGCTACCGCTACTAAAAATGTAGCGGACGCTACATGCAGCGCGCTCATGCCCACCTCTGTATTGGAAAGAAGAGCTTAGATCAACGTCCATGAGGCCGAAGTCTGTAATTGACTTGTAGTTGAGTCTAGCCTGCAGGCTTGCTGGAGGTGGATGAGGGGTCTGTAGTAGCACATGGGTCTGTCCCATGTTTGAAATTCGCTTAGTTCAACCATGGATCTGTTCCACTAATCGACGATTGAATGATGTTGTCATTTGTCCATGCCACATTCGTGCCCGTCCGACCAAACCTAACTCAAAAGTTTACCTCAGCTCCGGCCAGCTCTACTAGGTGAAAAAGCTCGAAAAATGTTTCCCTTGAAGGTTGTTAAAAGTAGGGGTTTGTAAGGCATGTAATGGTTAAGGAACATTTATATGCTATATATTTATAAGTGTTTGTTCACTGCTATACCTAAGATAAAAGTGCACAGAGTAAAGTATTTTCTCCATTTGATGTTTCGATATTCAGCCAAGTTTTAGCCTCAGTTGGTCCTAGTTGAATATAATTTAAATTAAGTTATCGCGATTCGACAATTTTATCGCGACTGTCGTCTAAGTAAAATTTCCATAATTTTGATAGAATTATCTCATTTGTCTAAATGATTTTTGGCTGTAATTAATGATTGATGTCAAGTCATCGTTCAGTGGATCACTTGTGAATCAAGTTCTGACAAGTACGTGAATCAGCATCAGGCCATGGGCTTACTTCTTCAGTGCAGACACTTCAATTCTATTCTAATAAGGAGATAATTCCAATTGGGAGATTCTTTGGATCTGGAGATTCTTTCATAACCTGATTGTTTCAATGACCTTCTTCTGGACTTAAGATAGAGGCGTTCGAGGTAGGCTTTCAGTTGATATTTGAAGTCTTTGCCAGGGGTAAAGAGCTGCGAGCCAAAAGGGCACGCATGTAAGTTAATTATTAAGTTAGTAAGTTAGCTCGTCTCTGTTGACGGCGAGGCTACCTAGACCTGGCACCGCCTCAATAGGTGCCTTACTCATGCTCTGCAAAAATTTAGGTTTAAACTTTTCATTCTTGAATCACTGCTGCAAAATAATTCGTCGGGAATGTAAAATTATCATTAGGGGTTTGTTAGTTTTGATTAGAAAAGGTGAACGGTATTATATCTAATTGATAACTTTTTTGGAAAAGGATGCATAGTGAATTATTAGGTAAGACAACTAGTTCTCTGCTCCGAAAAAATAATTAACTGTGTAATATACAGTATGTTGTAATGTATTAAACAAATAATGTTTGTGGATTTTGAAAGCGAGACCGAGAAGTTTGGAAGCTGGAAACGAATTATACAAGTAAGTTGACACCTTTAGAATTGCTAACTTAACTGGCTGCATCCACGATAATATTCAGTGGAAAAACATTGTATGTGTATTTTACTTCTGATAAGAGTGATTGCCATGTCAAAAGAGGAGTCTGCAGTCATTTGATTTTCGTAGAGGACAGATTTAGTGGAGAATGAACAGTCGTAATTGACTGCTATTCTTATTCTTCTTTGAGAGCTGAAAGAGCTCTGGAGACTCGTCCAAGGTGGCCCCCTGACAGAATAGTGCTCAGGATTCACGCAACTGTGAGCAAAAAGCCAGAGATAAGACATTGCAAAGAGCAGCCATGTTAAGAGACTGGAGCTGTTAGACGGTAAAATCAATGAAAAATATTGCAAGAGATTTCTTTGAGCGATATATGCATATTTCATCCCAGGTTAATGACTACTAACATGCCCTGCACTGTGCCTTACATGAGTATTGTGGACTCGAGTGAAGGTCCAGCCTGGACAGCACAGCCTGGAGCTTCTTGTTGTTGACTGTAGTTGGGTTTTGTTCTTTGACTGTAGTTGTAGTTGACTTTTGTTGGGTTTGGTTCTCCGACTGTTTGTCAACTTGGGGTGAAAGTTTTACTCCCGGCTGTGTTTTTTTTTCTGGCCACAAGGAAACTGCTGAAGCAAGTTTAGTTGACGAGACACTGTTGCCTGCAGAAGCCTACAAGAAAAACAAAATTACTTCTAACAACTTTTCTTAGAATTATAGTTTCCATAGCTTTTTTATAAAAAGATACAAGTCACTGATGTTTCAAACCTATGAGTTTCAATTCTACTATTCTTGGCCCATCACAGGGCTTTGATTTTGTATTTTATTTGTTGATAGAAATTAGAAAAACAGGATATGCTGACTATTTCTTAAATCAAATTTTGCAATTCAAACAAAATGCCTGAAAATTCACCATATTGTCAATGGAAACGTTTAAAATCCTATTATCAGTTTAGAAGCGCCGTGAATAAAATAATAGTATAAATTTTCGACATTTCGAAATTCATCAGTAATTTGCGACTCCATCAATGAAGCATTTAGACCAGTACTTAATTTGTAATTCCATCAATTAAATGATATTAATGCTTTATTGCTTTTGTCGAGTCTTAATTACATGGACAGAAATCATGACGTTTTTGAGTGCACAAACCAAACTTTCATTATAAATAAATCAAATGAGTACTCAACATCAGTTTACATTTTATACAATTTACACTTAACAAATATTTAACTATCCCAAAGTCCTCATCGTCGCAAATTGGGGCTGACAATTCATTAAGTATATATATATAGTGTTCAATTAAGGCAGCTTATTCGCAAATACATAGTTCATGCGCTTAAAAAATTTTCATTTCCCTCTGCTGTTATAAATTTACGCGTCGTGAAGATACTATTTTTGAAGCTTAGGAAAATTTCCAAGTTCACATAGGAATTTGCTATTTTTTTCGTTTGCGGAAGACAATAAAAAAGTTAATTTAGTACTAGAAATTTGTATTCTATTTAAGTTCTTCATGGTTATAGATCGTATTTTCCATATCTATACACTAAATACCGACGAGGTTTATTGCTGAATATTACTATATATCATTTCAGAATTCTTAATTCACGCAATTACGTATACAAATTATCAAAACTTTATGCTTAATTAAAATTTCCTTTTCAGCTACCAAATTGGCAATTTGGATTTCCCGTGACCAATCATATTCCTGCAATGACTTGGACTTCTAAGTAACATCATATTATTGCAATGACTTGGAATTCCACGCGACCAATCATATTCCTGCAATGACTTGGACTTTCAAGTAACATCATATTCCTGCAATGACTTGGACTTTCAAGTAACATCATATTCCTGCAATGACTTGGATTTTTAAGTGACTTATAAAATTCTTGCAAATACCTGGACTTCCACGCGATCAATCATATTCTTGCAATGACTTGGATTTCCACGAGACCTATGTTTATGTAATACTTACGCGATGACTTGCTTAAAACCGTGACGCTGGCATCCTGCTCATGAATTTTATGATCCATCAATACGTGGGACAAAGATACGCTGGCAACCGCGACGATAAATAAACATTTTTGAGTTGTGTCTGGTTCATTTGGTTATATAGTGTTTTAGGTGTGGGGTTAGAATAGATTAGATTAGAATTGTTCGTCATTAGAAATTATTCGTAAATTAATTTT